AAGTTTAAACGCTCTACACAAACGTTTACGTCACTTTTTTGAAGGCTGCTATCAGAGGGTGATAGCCTTCTTGATTATCACAACCTGAAAACTCACAGTTGGCTCCGATTAGCGGGTATTGCTATTTCACTGTAATGCAACACTCTCCACATAGATACATAGAAAAGTATCGATTCTTAAGTACACAATCCAGCTCTCACTCTGACCTCCTTACGTAGTTACAGACACACACCGACAACGAACCTGCAGAAACAATGTTTTCCTGATAAAGTCAGAGTGACGAAGGCACCTCCGATGGCACGCACACAATGGCAAACATTTTGACACGCTGTCACGAGCTGCACAGGCAGCGCCCCCGCTCCTTAATTAAACTTTGCTCACTATGTTACATCACAGTGAGCTGAACCCGTCGGCGACGTTGCTGCCAATGCGAAAGTATATTCCTCTGTTGAACGGACAAAGAAGTATGAGCAGAATCGGTTTTCAGGGAGCACTGCAAAAGAGTGGGTCGAGTAACCTGATGGAAGATATTTCAAATAATGTAACACCTGAGACTCGTCCTGCGGCTTACATATCAATAACCCTACCATGCTTGTCTAGTAAATAAAACCACATGTTTTGACAGAATCTTCTGTTTCAATCATATACTGTCATTGTACTGAATATGATCACCTTTATGATTGAAATGTTTGCAGTAAAGAAGATTCTGTCAATATTTGTAGCTTTAAATAAGGCCTTTTAGTCATTTAGAAACAATCGAGCGGTGACTACTGCTTTCTGTAAAAAGTATACACAAATAAATTCAAATTCTTATTTATTTTATTGTCAACATTCAAAATGCTACTGTCTCGTGAAACCAAAAATATTTGAAATTATACTGTTTCTGAAACTACAGCCAGAGCAATGACCTTCGGATTTTGACATTTTTTACAGGTTTCCTCTTGTCAATTACTACAGTTAGGTATTCTGTATTTTTCAAATGTCTACTTGTTTTACCGCAATATCTACTTCTGCTTAAGTCTTTGAAGTGAGACAAAACCACAATTGTCACAGCATTGCAAACTTAAATACCGCCCTACAATGTGCTGTTATGAATAGGAAAAACTGTATGTCTACGGCAAAGTAGTTGAAGGAAGTACTTTCTTAAGTCTCCAACAGAAATTATATAACAAGTTGAACGAACACGGTTTCTGCACGAATTGAGAAGGCAAAATCTTATTTCCGTGAATTATGAGTGTTTCTGGACGTAACGAGTCCGACTAAATTGGAGGCCGTAAAAAATTGACTCCAGACTTCACCACCAGTTATGGAGGAGTGTGCGATACCACACCCTTAGTCACATTTATACGGTACAAGAAGTCAAGAATCAGTCTTGCTATTTCGTGTCGGTTTTTGCAGCAAAATATATTTTTCATTTCGACTTTGAATTTCTTTATAATTGCAAAGTGTTACATAAAGGACTATTGATCATTTCTTGCAGAAGGAACATGTTTGTGTTGTGATATGGATAACCAAAACATCTACAAAATTTACTGACAGGTTAAGGAATACCATTAATATACATTGTCCAATGTAAGCATCGAGATGGTTGACTGCTGATAATCGCCACTGACAGTTCTTGCATAAGCCTCACAAGCATCATCTTTCGTTCCTTGTGTCAGAAATAGACTCACTACCTCTATTTACGGTTCATAAATAACGTAAGATCCAAAGAACGTACTCGCAGAGGTTAGTGCAAACATAATCAAGCCTTCTTTACTATATCGCGATACCGACTCACTGATATATACGCTTTGATAATGCACGATTACTTCAGTTGTGTGATTTGGTCTTAACGTATTACACCGAGATTGATTATTCAGTACATGATTGCAAAGATGTAGATTTACTGGAAACCAAGATTACGAGTAGAGAGAAACTTTATGAATTAACATGTTAGATGCTATACACGGTTTATGGAACTTTTTTTATAAACTATACTGTAGTACAAATTAGGCAGACGAGCACGTTATGTTATTTATGACTAACAGCAGAGTCTATAACAGGTCGCTTTATCAAAGCGTAGTAATTTTAACGATTCAATACATTATGTATCACGTTGCTGATGGCAGGTAGTTAATTTTACCGCATCCAAATTACATATTACATTTTCTTACCTGTGTGTATTGAAAAACTACCATGCACAGAGAGGATGTATATTATAGAAGGAAACACATAACTATTCATTCATCTGAAAAAGTGTTCCGTAGTGTCAAACCATGTGTCTATTTCTGAGGACGTGATGGAGGATGACTTTATTTATTCCAGTCGTAGTGTAGAAAAAATAGTCCAAACTGTAAATATCCCAAAAGACGGTCACCCTATTACTGGATAATCCGTTAAGAAGTGATTACATCGTTAGAAGAGCTATCAACCGGGGTTCCCGCCAATTGGACGTATACTAAGTGACATATAAATCCGAACACCCAGTTTAAATGGTTTTATTTTAATAAAAGTTGGTGAATGTATTTATCTTACTGTAAATAACAAGTGAGAAAATTTTCAGCCTTATCAGTTGGACATTCCGCTTTTTGTACTGCTTTTTTTTAATTCAATAACGCTCTAAAAATGAATATTTCAGCCGCAGTAAAGAATCAACGTTGGCGGATTTTGGTTCTTGACATCCTTTACGATCGGTTACGATGCCTAGAGTACGGAGACCTGTACGATTTCGTCAACTTAGTGAGTTTGATAGGGGCCGTATAGTGGGACTTCGGGAAGCTGGACTTTCTTTTCGGGCAATTGCAGTTAGAGTGCAAAGAAGTGTAGACACTGTGATTAGGTGTTGTCAGGCATGGCTTCGAGAAGGCCGTACGCAAAGAGCAAGGGGCACTGGACGCCGCCGTAGAACAACAGACCGTGAAGATCGCCGCCTAAGATTATTGGCCTTAAGGGACAGTTTCTCCACTACCAGGTCCATTGCAAATGAATGGTTTGCAGAACACGGAAGACCTATTGGCATGCGAAGTGTTTACCGACGAATGAGAAGTTTTGGCTTGTTTTCATACCGGCCACACTGGGTCCTCCCTTTAACTCGAGAACACCGACGTAATCGCCTTGAGTGGTGCAGACAACGGTCACTCTGGGATCAGGAATGGAACAGTATTGTCTTTAGTGGCGAGTCTCGATTTTGTTTAGGCATGCACGATGGTCGTGCCAGGGTTAGAAGGCGACGTGGTGAAAGGAGGAATCCACAGTTTTTTGTTGAAAGACATGTTCATCACACTGTTGGAGTTATGGTTTGGGGTGCTATAGCTTATGGTTCCAGGTCACCTTTAATCTTCATCAGAGGTAACATGAACGCGCAGCGTTATATCCACGAAGTTCTAGAACCCCATCTTTTACCCTATCTTGACACCCTGGCAGATGGGATATGATGGGTAGGAGATTGCTCAATTTGCAACGTCCTCCTCAGACTCTGGAAGCACTTCGAGAGGAGTTGGTGGTTGCCTGGAATGAGATACCACAGGAGGACATTGACCACCTGATCAGAAGCATGCCTAGGCGCGTTGGAGAATGCCTAGCAGGATCAGGGTGCATCCACACATTATTAAAGGTCAAAGGGCTTTAAAGCAGTGCAATCATTTTGAAATGTTTATCATTTACTTATTATGCTTCATTAAGTACTTATACAAAATTTTATTAAAATAAAACCATTTAAACTGGGTGTTCGGATTTATATGTCACTTAGTATACTATCAGTATAATCTGACAACCAACTAAAAGCTTCTGTCAAACTGAAAAAGTTATCTCATATCTACTGCTATTACCTCTTTAAGTTGGTTGAACGTTCCCATAACCTCATGGATGAGGCCAAGGTGTCTCATTCAATCTCGATTAATTTCGTTTAGGTAAGGAACGTTTTTCAAATGTTACTATCGCTCCTTCTCTTACAAAAAATATTTCCTTACGATAGCGATCCTGTGGAGCAAGATACCTATTTTGACATAAAGTGTCGTAAGAATTGTAGTTAAGCACCAATCATGCATCAGTTTCCTTCATGCTGAAACGAAAGTCCACACCCTTAGAGCATCAGTCGACGCACCAACTACATAATCCTCTGACATTATCGGAGAAAAGTTTTTACTTTCGGAACTTACAGACTGGCTGCATTATACCCTTTGTGCATTATTCCGTTTTCAGCAGGTTTCCTTTTACAATTCCCGCAAAGTTTACAGAAATATGTATGCTGCGTTTTACAGAGTGTACAACTTGACAACGAAACCACTGTACCATTCATATCAATATTCGTATGCCCGGTTTTTCAAACGTAGTTTCTTTTATTTAAACAGCGAAAAGCTCTCACAGAGCTTCTCGGGAAGAAAAGCTCGATAGATTCCTACTATCAGCCCGGAGTGTGAGATTTTCCAAAATCAGTTTATTCGTTCGCCATGCATGCTGCCATTCTCCATTAGAGCATTTCGTCATGGTGGGTAGCGTGGAGGTAAAAAGTGGGCCTCGACCCATTAACCTATGCATATATACACTTGCATTTGTTTTACTGTTTGGTTTTATCGTCGCGAACCTTGCTCAGCATCATACGCCTCATTCCTGGTTGAATTTAATTCTTTTGCTCTCGTTTATACGTCTAGCAGAATTTCCAGCTGTGAGCGTCTCACCAACTGCAAGTTTCTGTCATCTGCACTTGAGTATATGCGCAGAAGTATACTTGCCGAAACAATACCTGCTGTTCGAGTATTCTTTCTTCCCTAACCGCTTTCGGTAGCTCTAAACAGGAAGTTGATTCTCAGTTATTTTAAAAATAGTTTTGTGTCTCGTATCATTCATCAAAACTTTGAAATTTAATTGACTAAATATTGCGGTTCAACCACCAGCTATTCCAGAGCGTAAGCATCGGCTTCAGGGCAATCTGATAATGAGAAACTTTTCCTAAAAGTTAGCTTCAAGTCAGCATGCAATGGCAACACCGAGATTTGTAATGGATAGGTTATTCAAAATGCTGTTAATTATAACTACGATTTATTTAGATTAGCTTTCACAATTACATCTAGTGCACAATGCGATGGGGCAAAGTGATTGGATGAGATTTTTACAGTGCCTTAGGGACATGTTTTCTTAAAAAATGTATATCACAGTTGTAGTCGATCTATCATTGATTGTTCACGATTTTATACAATATTTACAAAAGGTCCATTGTCTATGTTAAAGATAATTGTCTACTCAAGCGGAATAAAAGCAGCATTGTGACGACGGACAGCCTGGGGATCGTTGGTGCAGAGCCTTTCACTGAAAAAAGATACCAGTCAGATGATAGGTCGAGATTCACCAAGCACCAAGTTGTTGACAGTCTGTTATCACCAATGGTAACGTGGCAGCGATAACTGCTCAATACAGGGTGTAATTTAATTGAAGGCTAAAAACACAGGATATTACAAGTATGCTGATAATAATAAGTCAACAGCATGTTTTTTTGTAGACCTAACTAAAGCGTTCGATAGTATTATACATCAAAAATTATTAAGAACCTTGCAAAATTTAGGATTTTGTGGAATCACTTATCAACTCATGAAAAGTTATTTGGAAAACAAGACACAATGTGTGAACATCAACAGCACACTGAGTGAAAATATGATTGTTGGATGCGGAGTTCCACAAGGAACCGTATTAGGACCAATGCTGTTTAATTTATATATTAATGACCTTTTTGAGTTAAAGAAACGATGGAGAAATTACTGGTTTCGCAGACGATACGGCAATTATTTACTCAGACAAAGTCATTCTATTTTCTATGCTCAAAATTTTATTATGTTATTGTAAGCTTGTTAGCACTTAAAACAAATTTTTACATTTGACTAGTATACTTGAAGAAAATTTATTGTATACTAAGTGACATTTAAATTCGAACACCCAGTTTAAATGGTTTAGGATATATGTTCATATGAACTTTTCTCCCCAAAATAAGCTGAGGAATCATATCCTGTATTTTTAGCCTTCAATCAAATTACACCCTGTAGTATAAGCGACCTTGCTCTATTTATCTTATGCGTTAAGTTGATCTCTATTTATCTTATGGTTCAGGTTGATCTGAAAACAGTACGATCTGTATTTGTCAGCAAATCCCAAAGACCCCACGCAACTTCGTGTCCCCTCCTTCCTATTTCCGCTCACACTCATTCTTGAGCGATTCCCGTGATTTTAAGTGCGCACACTTTGAGGTTTCGCTCGACGGGATGCACGTCTAGATTAGTATTCTAATCACACGTTCCTACCTACTTGTTTACAGAAACTTTCAACGGCAAACATATGAATGCGCTTCCGAGTACAAATGAGATTTGCAAAGTTTCACCCTTAAAACAATGGATTTGCATAAAGGGAAACGAAGTCCCATATCCCGCGCAAAAACGAGACTTGACGTCGTTAGTTGGAAGCGTTAGACGTTTCCTTCCCGTAGAACGAGGAAAATATCGGTAGTTTGTGGGTTGTTGCGGGATACTTGTGGAAATGTTTGAGCGTGAACGTTAATAGCAGATTCATTTAGTTGGCTCTCTGGTTAATTACGTGCAATAGCTAATTGCTTTTTACTACGATTGTAACGTCTCTGACATTATTTTGCACTTTTTATTTATAGCGTAGAATTCTGTTTAGCTTTAAATGGGATCCTCTGGAGGTGGATGTTAGAATAAATAAATTGTACAAATAGTTACAGTTATAAAATGAAATTGTCAAATATCAAGTATAAGAAAATATTACCTGGCGACCGAGATTTTACAATCTTTTATGACTTTCTCAGACTAATGAGGTTCGGACTCATAATGAATTTAACAGCATTATTGTTGTTTAATGTTGTTATCAATGGCCAGAAGCAGAAGCAGTTGCTTCATATTGATTGCACTTTGTTTCCCATTAAATTGATCTTGGTCAGTATACTTTTTTATAAAATAAAAGGTATAAACGCTGGAAGGAGATCAATACTTTTTACGACTCTCGTCAATAATTCATGAGAAACAAAACATTAGCAATCCGTGGCCTTACCAAGCAACAGCGCCTCCCTCATGTCCTTGATAGGTATGCTCTGCGTCTGCAATACGCTCTCCTTGTCACTTCGGTAGAGGATGGGTGCTATCGAAGCGACGCACTTCACCCGCATTGATCCTCCTCTGAAATGTTGGTTACTGAGGGTGAAACGTAGTCCCAAGGTGGAGGACATCAGCCCTTGAGGGTACTGTTCTACGGGGTAGTGCACCAGTGCTTCCGGCGATTGGATCTGGAACAAATTTAAGGCACGTGAAACACCCTGAAGTATAATATGTTAGATTTGCTTTTACAGAACGTCTGCAAACTTTTTTCCAGCTAAAGCATTCGGCTTTGCAAATTTATATATTATTCTTACGTCATTTGGTGTAAAACATATAAAAGGGTTCATTTGAGAAAAACCGCTTCCCAGTAGCATCCTTTGGGGGTCTGTAACTCCATCAGAAGCCCCGTAGGAATTTTCTTGTAGCAGAGTTTGACCCTGTAACTTTAGCCCTAAAGAGAAGACAATATAAACAAAGTAAAAAATCCAACCTTTACCGCAGTGAACATGGCGCGCGGGACTGAGTGCCCCATTAATTCAAAGACACAGTTAATTACACGTCCTTATTGTAATGGTCCTCCCCTTCATACTTAATGACTCGAAAAGCACCCATAAGGGAGCGTTTAACACTGTTACATGTCTGAAGAAGAGTCATGGAAATTAGTATCATAGATATAACGATGGATATTTTTGTTACGCCTGGTGTTCAAGACTGTAAACTGGACCGGACAGTAGTGGAAAAGTCACATCTTCCACTTAGGTGAAACGATCTGTAGTGAACGATTTTATTGTAGTGGCTGTGTAATAAAAAAAACGACAAAGCTAGAGTGTATTTTTATTTTCATAAAAGCTACTCCGATGTTTCTGTATTGTATTCGTAAGTGTAGACGAATGATATCAAAAGCTGTAGCGACCCCTCAATTAGTAACTCAAATGATGGCGATATAGAAAATTGAATCAATGAGTCGGTATCGCGGTATAATAAGAAAGTCCGGTATGACTGTAACAGTTGAACCTTATTCTGCAGTTTTCATGCCGATAGGACTCCATGCTTTTCTGGCCAAGGTATGTAAAAATTTCTCTTCACAAAATGAACTGACAATGATCATATATTTTATATTTCTCTGTCTTCCAAATAACAAATCGCTTTTGCTTCTATAGAGTGTTGCAACAACAGCCTGAATGGTCATCTATCATTCCTGGAAGATGAATATAAAATAATTGTCACTGCTATTTTAATTTATGTACTTTGGAAACTGTCATCGGCACAGCAGTGATAGAGACCCTGAATAATAATTTCCGAGTATATATGTATATTAGCATAGTTCTGTAGAAAATCATGGAGGTCGGAAGAATTGAAGTTTGGAAGGACTTTTCCAAATTTATTTTTTATTTTGCGGAAGCCATGGTGTCTACGTATGGAAAGTTCGAAATTAGGTATATAATATGAATCAGTGGGGAGTATTGAAACAACCTTGACAGCATATTTTTTTGACCGTTTGGTATTTATTATCTGGAATATGCTACGTCAATGGCAAATCAGGTATAAATGTTAAGGTCTCGTAAGTATTGACAATTTTGTGCTTAACGTACTTGTTCTTCCTTAGTGTTATTTATAACTTTCCATGATATTCCGGTTACGAGGGCGATTTCGTACTACAAACATTGCAGCTCGCAATGTGTCATGACATAAACACATATTTATTCAAATATCCACAGAGTAAAAAGCCAGGTGCGGTTCCGACGAATGCGAACGCTAATTTGAATCGCATCTCCGACAAATGATGTGGTCCTCAAGATTTCCTTCAACAGATCCACTGTCTACTCGTTGAAGCGTGCATTTTAGTTTCGTCTGGGGGTCTTATTTAGTAATAGAAACTTGATTGTTTGTCTGTACGTTATAGAGCCTCATTATCATTTAGCTATTAAATGAGACTGATCCCAAGACACTGTCCTCGCACATCTGCAAAGCACAGAGTCTCTAGTTTCCGAAACGGTATCGTTTTCTAGTAAGACCTTTTGCAAACCGGGACAAAAAAAGAAAGAAAAGCCGCACCGACGACGAAACGCTCCGATCCTGGCTCAACCGTGATTGGTTTACCTGTGAACGTTACTGTATCCTGTTTTGTAATCTCAAGGTCAAGAGCAGATATAGGAATTTTGTAGAGCGATTCAAATTTGTTATTTAGTATTATGGTATTTTTTGCTATTACTTTTTTAGCTACGTCACACGAGTAGGAAATCAAATCCGTGTTGAACTGGAGATTTCTCATTCCTTTCTGTCATCAACAGAGCATCCTCCTAACATGAGATATGAATCCACATTTGATTGTACGCTACGTTCCTTGCCGAAAACGCTGCAGCGGCGACTTGACTTACGATCTCCCTTCAAAATCGCGACATCATCAAACGTAAATACGACAAACTCCAATAAGCAACATTTGTTTGCTTTTTATTCCAACACCCATAAGCGAAACCGCACATCAGTACATTATTATTAAGCCGACCATGTCATTATATCGCAGTCCCGCGCTAAGACCGTGCACATACAATTTTTCTTTGTGACATTTCGTGCAGTACAAGATCGATTAGGCTAACACTTCGAACATGCGAAACTGCGCGGTGCGTGATGTAGAGCAGCTCCCCCTTAACAAATGGTCATGTCCCGTGGTCATAAAAATTACTTTTTTGTACGTACGGTGCGGCGCTTACACTTCGTCGATATATCTACTCGACGTTTGCCGCCCGTGAATGCAGCATAATGCAGTAGATGGAGAGGCGGACAGCGTGCGTAGCTTGAAGTTTGTGAAGCTTTATGTATGAAACATGTGTAGGGTTCGTCAGCAAACAATTTACAGTATGTGTATACATAAAGAACAAACAATAAAATCGCAAGCAATAACAAAAAATACCTTAAGGGTGGGTTTCACCAGGGTTGTCAAATCGACAGTCCGTTATTTTCCACCTATACAACGAATGAGCTTAAAGTTCCAACCAACAAATTTTAGCAACCAATAGCAATTGCAAACAAAATACTGTCAAAGTATGAGATGGCATCTTGTCATTGGAACAACACCAGCTTATTGAATATTAATAATAAAATAATTTAAATAAATGTTTGATTTTTGAATTAAATTCATGTTTTAATTACTATTGTTGATTTTTTATTCATGTTTATATTATTTCCTTCAATTGATACGCTATTTTACTGATTTAACATCACCTCCCGTGTTTTTTTCCTATAAACCATTCAGGTTTTTTAATATCCATACATCCCTAAAGTTGAATATTTTTCGTTGTTCAGGAACTGAACAAACATCCACACTATATTCACAGCGATTAAGAAATTCTCAAATATATGCCTTAAAGATACCAGCAAACCTAAAACCTGCAAAAAAACTACAAATTTGCCATATTTTTCTTTTTTCACGAGTACACATGCTAGGTTATATTTATATTAGACATTATTCATAAATAGGAGATCTTTCCCATTCCGGATCGAACAATCCACCAAAGATGCTTATAATCATGATACCTAGTAAATTTACATGAAGAATCGACTGTATCTAGGTATATAAGAACTTTCTTATATTTGTTCATCAATTTGATGATACAACACATCTGCTAAAAATGATCATAATGAGGATAGTAAACTATAACAAAGGTCCACTGTATGTAAGAAGTGTTATCAGTCTAGCTCCAACTATCATAAGTACTATGTTTGTATTCCTACTTTAAATTCAGAACCAGCAAATGTAAAATATTCATGTCGCACCCTTAATCACGAGACGTGATCGTCGTTAGACTTGGCAACCCTGCGAGTGACAGATAGATAACCCCACCGGTGCAAAAGGCAATCATACAATACATTAATAGTTTTTATGATTTTTGGACTTAAAAGACATTATTTGTGAAACATTTTTCATATTTTTTTGTGTATGTCCATAGTAATTGCATTATGCATCACGGAGATGTAGGGATTGACACGTCTGACACATATTATCTGTGTTTTAGGATGGAGAGGTCAAGGTTTTTATTGCTTTGAAGAAATACATTAACCCGTAAATTAATAAATGATTACTATTATGATGTAAAGGAAGATGAGGAATTGGATGGAATGTATTTTATATTCTATTTTCTTGCAAAATACAGACAAATCCACACTATTCAACAGGTATGTAATGATAACGGTATATTGAACTTAAATTCGAGATTGCTATGCATTAACAAACGTCCAAATCTGCTGCCAAATTTAACAGCTAGAAAATCGGCCTATTATTTGCCGCATTTCCATTGGCTTTTCGGGATAATTGATTGTTAAATGTAAATTTATAACACAAATCAAAATACATGAAAGTTGACCTGTTTTCTCTGTACAAAAGCATCATGTTGGAATCATATATAATACAGTCTAATTTTCACGATTTTATTCAATATTTTAATAGAAATCACTGATATTCTGAGACCTTTGACAGCTTCTGTCAAATTGCATTTCGATAAGGTATTTTTCCATTGGTCCATAGTATTAATGTTGGTGAAGTCGGCCCTTAATCAGATATCTAAAAATTGACACTAAAAGCAAACAACAGCAGATATAATAGATTAGCTTTCCAGCAGTTAAAATTGATAAATCAACAGAAATACAATATAAAAATATATCAAAGGACAAACAATAAGTGGTTAACAAGCAATACTAAAAAAGAAGGCGTAGCAAGTCTTATTAATGAAATGGGTTGACAACTCAGCTTTGAAATTATTTAAAAACCTAATACTCAGGCAGCTTGTTGAATACTTTTACTCCTAAAACAGAGGGAGAACTAGCTAGAACCTAGCTTATATCGAGTAAAGGGTAGATGAGTGTCCTGCTGCCTATGTGTAAACTGTATATAAACAGCAAGGACAGTGCTAGAATTTTGAATTGTAGGAACAAGCTTCTGCAACTGTATATACCTGTCAACACCTGCTACGCACCTTATTATTCTCTTTTGACTTCGAAATACGTTTGAAGCATTAACCGAGGAACCCCAGAAACACAATAGACGCTGCATTCGCGATTTGATATGACTACGATATATCATCAATATATGGCCGCGTGTAAAAACTGTTTTCGGATTTTTAAATAGGTAGTTACAACGACCTCTAAAATTCAGGCACTCATCCAGGTGCAGTCCCAAGATTGTTGTGATCTCACTGTTAGGCTGAATTATCCAATGTAAGCTGCAGTGGAGGTATTGACTTTTGGGCATTGTGGAATCTGATTGCTGTTGTTTTTTCACAGTTTAGATGCAGCTGGTTCTCCACGCACCTGTTATTGATGCTATGTAACAAGCTACTGCAGTCGTTAACTAGGATAGCGTCATCTTTATTTCATAGAATAATCGATGTGTCGTCCGCGTATAAGCTAAAGTGTGCTCTGGGGAAGGACTACTCAAGGATATTTACATACAATGCCAACAGAACAGATCCTTGTGGAACGCCGACATCCATATATGTATATCCCACCAGACTTGACTTGCATTAGGTGGTCTGAGCAATTTTGAGTTATTGTCACTCCATAAGTTGCCAGTTTTACCAATAACAGATCATGGTTGACACAGTCGACTGCCCTGATTAGATCACCAAATATACCAACAGGGCACTCTCCTGTTTCAATGTACCGAACTAGCATATTGAAGAAAGAATGAGATGCTGCTAGTGTTGACCTACCACTATGGAAACCGTGTTGGTTGGATGTTAGTACCTAATTTGTTTCAAGGAACAGCGTCAACCGATCGAAGAAACGATATTCGAAAATTTTGAAAAAACAACAGACATACGTCCCCGGTCTGTAATTTTTTGCGTTAGTAGTTTTCCCTTCTTGTGTATGGGAGCTACTTTTACCATTTTTAGGAAAAGAGCCAGTGCAGGAAGACAGATTGATCAGAAAAACCTTCTGTCGATCAGATTAAAGAATTCTTCTTCCATCAATGTGTTCTTCAATGACATCGTTGTAGTTTGGAACGGTGTCAATATTTCTGGATGTTTTCTCTACGATTTACTAACCTGTTGTTCGTTAATGTACCAATGCAGTACAGGTGCCGGGTGTCCTTTACCAGATGTGCAGTTCAAATTGATTTCGTCTCCTATTTCATACTGCATTTCCACGCCGGTGATGACAGGGTCGTCTTCAGGTAACACTGTAACAAAGCAACAGTGTTCACAACTATTTTATTGAAGAAATGCTATTATTCAAAAACCTGAAAACGATCTCAAGAATGGATGGTTAGATACTAAACAATTTCAAAAAGGTAGGTAACTAATAGTTCGACGAGTTGGATGATAATAATATTGATAACAGAATCCCTTCAATCTGCATTTTTGTTGATTTAAAGAAAGCTTTCGACACAGTTAATCACAAATTATTATTAGAAGCATTGGAGAGAATTGGTTTCAGAGGAAACGCGTACTCACTGATCGAAAGTTATTTGTCAAATCGCCCCAGATATCAGGATTATTTAGTAAAGAAATATATATTAAGTGTGGTGTCCCACAAGGAACTGTCTTAGGTCCGCTGTTATTCAATACATATTTAAATGATATTTTCCAAATTAATTGTGTTGGCAAAATAACTAGTTTTGCAGATGATATTGCAATATTATAAGAAGGCACTGACTGGTCTGATCTGAAAAATATAATTGAAAATGATTTTATCAAAATTATTCGGTGGTTTAACAGTAGAAAATTAAGCATTAACTACTCTAAAACACATTTTTTACCATTTGGATCTTATGCTAGACATCTGCCAAATTACACAAATTTCTCCTTCAATATTAATGATCAAAAAATGCAAATTAATAGAATGCCCAACATAAAATACCTTGGAGTGGTCTTGGATCCTCACTTACGATGGGACATCCATGTCAATTATATTTTAAAGAAAGTTAGATTTGTATCCTACAAAATTAAATACCTTGGGAATATATTGACAGAAAAATATCTTCGAACATTATACCATGCACTGATTGAGCCTCATCTCACATATGGTATATTAGCATGGGGAGCTGCATGTTCCGCACATATCTATAATTTAGATGTTTTTCAAAAAAGTATTCTAAAAATGATATTTAAAAAACCGAAACTTTATCCCACTGAAAAATTATATGCAGATGTTCGAATGTATGATATAAGACAGCTTTATTTCTTACACAGTATCACTCACTACCATAAATTTGTAAACACCGACCAAAAAATTAAACATAATTATTATACCAGGTACAAAATCCGTGGCATAGTAGTTCCTCAACCGCATAAATCTATAATGCAGTGATCATATCTCTATTTAGCGCCTAAATTTTATGAAATTATACCTGAAGACTTAAAAGATTTACGTTTCGGAAATTGTTTCAAAAGAAATTTAAAAAAGTGGCTACATTCTATATCTAGGACTGAAATTCATAAACTCATAAATACGAACATCAACTAAATACATAATCTACTGTAGCTAATTTTTGTCCTTTTTTGTCATTTGCATTCTACAGTTTCAACTTAAATTATTGGTCCATGTACAGGCGATGCCTTCTATTGGGCCTGTTTTGATTTTATATTTATTTACTCATATTGTTTGTTATCTTTGTACATTGAGTGAATAAATATTATTATTATTATTATTATTATTAAGCGAGATGAATCATTAATTGGGAAAGCAACTGTATTTCTTTGATCCAAACATGCCGGTAGCAAGGAGGAATTGTTATGGTCAAAAAATTCGTGAATGAACTTCAATTATATAAGCCTGTTTGACATACTTGATCCATTTTTTTTGGTATACATGAGAGTGCTTACTGTATCAAGCAGATGTTTTTAGGACAGATGACAATGCGAGATCGGTAATTTGTCTCCACAGCTAGATCAGCTTGGTTGCTAGCTTAGAATTGATTATAGAAAAAATTAAAAGAATCGCAAATGTTTAACATCCAAACCTACCAGTACGTCACCATAAAAACACCCTCAAAAAAGGGGTGTTCGAGAAATGTGAAGAATAAATGATGTCCGATGATGCAAGACAACAAAAGACAACAAAAATATTCGAACGTCCAAGCGTATTTCAGTTGATGCGACTTTCCGTGAGCGAGGTGCATTTTAAGTAATCTAAAAAGTAGTAGCTAATCCGTTTGAATTCAATTAGATCCGAGAAGCTTCTCGAAGCTCGGGTCGTTTGTGGGACGTAGCCAAGCTCATTTTTTGCTGTGATTATCCTAAACGTCGGTCCGCTACAAAACAGTCTACTTCATCTTAACTTTTGATAGCTCTGCGTAACCTTAGCGCCGAAGATGCTCTTCGTAGAGAAGCGGTACGCCATCAAATTTTGTTTCCGTATGGGTAAACGTTTACCTTGATCACTGATGCTTATGGAAAATGAGGATTCATCGGAAGGCCAGAGGTTCTGGTGGCTTCAAATATTGCAGTTTTCGTATGACCAGTCAAAACAAAACATCTAGTTCTAGTCTAAAAATCACTCAATAACAGGGAATGCTCAATCCTAAGGTTGCTGGTGCAACTGTTGTCTGGCCATAACACGTTAAGGCGTCAGCTGCACGTGATGGGGGTAGCTGAGGATCCCTTGCGTGAACGCTACGGGGTAGAGGAAGAGACCTCGGCGCACGTTTTGTGTCGCTGTGAAGCTCTGATCTACTATAGGCAGACTATATTGGGGTCCATTACTTTGGACCCTCAAGACGTGAAGGAGCTTGGACTCAAGGCGATTCTCAACTTCGCTAAAAGGCCGAGGCTTGTGATCTAAGGGTTGTAGAGGTGCATAAGCGGCCTATGCACTGGATCCTTATGGTGGCCGGAATGCCTCTAATTTCAAGATTCATTCATTCATCACAGCTGATCAAAAGTTAAAACACATGAACATCTATAATTTTCACTGTAAAATACAGATCGCATGACAGACACAGCTTGTGGCACATGATTGCTACCTGAAGATGGATACGTGTTTAATAAAAGAAGATATAAATAAACCTTGATTCATAACCAGTTGACCGAAACACCTAGATACCTAGAATAAGCGTCGAGTTTTCCCTTTATTTATCTTAATGTTAGTATGTATACAGATTCACAAACAAATTACTATTGCACCACAAAGTTTAGCTAATAGCCAAATTGTGAAATTAAATCCCAATTTACGACCATACGGCAGCTGAATAAAATGACGGGGCATTTTGGTTTATTTAACAATTACTCGTTCGGTCGTGGTTGTAATCTATTTTCATATACCGTTTCAGCGAACAGTAGGGTAAATAAGCTACCGTTGAATAATATTAATGATTAAAGGCGGTTAAATGAAGCTTATTCTAAAGTGCAGACTAATCAACGCTGAAACTGGCTCCGATGTAATTGAAACCAATCTATCGTACATTTTATAATAATAATAAAAGTTGGTGAATGTATTTATCTTACTGTATATAACAATTGAAAAAATTTTCAGCCTTATCAGTTGGACATTCCGGTTTTTAAACTGCTTTTTTTTAATTCACTAACGCTCTAAAAATGAATATTTCAGCCGCAGTAAAGAATCAACGTTGGCGGATTTTGGTTCTTGACGATCGGTTACGATGCCTAGAGTACGGAGACCTGTACGATTTCGTCAACTTAGTGAGTTTGATAGGGGCCGTATAGTGGGACTTCGGGAAGCTGGACTTTCTTTTCGGGCAATTGCAGTTAGAGTGCAAAGAAGTGTAGACACTGTGGTTAGGTGTTGTCAGGCATGGCTTCGAGAAGGCCGTACGCAAAGAGCAAGGGGCACTGGACGCCGCCGTAGAACAACAGACCGTGAAGATCGCCGCCTAAGATTATTGGCCTTAAGGGACCGTTTCTCCACTACCAGGTCCATTGCAAATGAATGGTTTGCAGAACACGGAAGACCTATTGGCATGCGAAGTGTTTACCGACGAATGAGAAGTTTTGGCTTGTTTTCATACCGGCCACACTGGGTCCTCCCTTTAACTCGAGAACACCGACGTAATCGCCTTGAGTAGTGCAGACAACGGTCACTCTGGGATCAGGAATGGAACAGTATTGTCTTTAGTGACGAGTCTCGATTTTGTTTAGGCATGCACGATGGTCGTGCCAGGGTTAGAAGGCGACGTGGTGAAAGGAGGAATCCACAGTTTTTTGTTGAAAGACATGTTCATCACACTGTTGGAGTTATGGTTTGGGGTGCTATAGCTTATGGTTCCAGGTCACCTTTAATCTTCATCAGAGGTAACATGAACACGCAGCGTTATATCCACGAAGTTCTAGAACCCCATCTTTTACCCTATCTTGACACCCTGGCAGATCCAACTTTCCAACAAGATAATGCCCGACCACATGTTGCAAGAGTCACAATAGACTTCTTTCAACATAATGATGTCACATTGTTACCATGGCCACCAAGATCTCCCGACTTATCCTCAATTGAGCACGTGTGGGATATGATGGGTAGGAGATTGCTCAATTTGCAACGTCCTCCTCAGACTCTAGAAGCACTTCGAGAGGAGTTGGTGGTTGCCTGGAATGAGATACCACAGGAGGACATTGACCACCTGATCAGAAGCATGCCTAGGCGCGTTGGAGAATGCGTAGCACATCAGGGTGCATCCACACATTATTAAAGGTCAAAGGGCTTTAAAGCAGTGCAATCATTTTGAAATTTTTATCATTTACTTATTATGCTTCATTAAGTACTTATACAAAATTTTATTAAAATAAAACCATTTAAACTGGGTGTTCGGATTTATATGTCACTTAGTATAATATAACTCACATGATTAAGTAAAGAACGTATGTAATGTCAAAAAATGGGTAAAAGAATAAAAATCACGTTTCATAGGCTCCTGATCATTTTCAGAAAAAATTTTGCACGGCTTGAAAGTTTGATGTTGTCGGTTGGAAGAGTGGAAGAAAGTACATGTAAATTTTTTGGTGCTAGCGATTTATACGTTCTCAAATAAAAGTTTGAGGTTTGGTTAATTAATCGGGTTTTTCGGTGGTATGATTGAATATTATGTATGAAACTTTTTGAATAAATCATATACATTTATTCGCAAAGATAAACTTTGTATTACCTCCTAAGCCAAACGTTTGTGATTCCTTTTTGCGGTAGTTTTCTACCTGTCATTTCAGATATGCGATGAAGCTTTTTTATTAGCTT